TTTCCCTCCAAGAAGCCAAGTTGGGTATGTTAGAGCCAAGCCCAGCTCACTGCGCCTCACCCGGGCATTTCAAGCAGAGCCCTGCTGATCCCCAAGGAACAGTTCTTGGTTCAGACATGATCATAATTTCATCAGTTCCCCCTTCCCCCTCAGCCCAGCTCCCACTGATGACACTTCCCCCAACATTGAACCCAACACCCCTTAATCCTGTGTCTTTGCTTCTGGTGTTGGAACCAGTAAATCTGTCTGTCCCCCATCAAGTTCCCCTCCCCCCTCCTGTTACATCACCTTTTGCTCGGTTTTGCCTCCAGATGCCATAACTGAAGAGGGCAATGAAACCAACCAGGAGAGTTGGGATCACCCCCATGGGCACCATCCAGGGATTGTCCTTTGGGAAAAACAGCTCTGCAAGAGAAAGAGCCATTGACTTGAGAGCAACCATGTGCAGCATGAAGGGAGGGTGCTGACAGTTGTGACCAGATGCTCTGTGCTCTCTGGAGCTCAGTTACATGAGAATCCGGCCCAAAATTCCACGAGGAGTAACAGTTAATTCAAACTAAGGAGTTAGTTTGAATTAATGTTTAACTGCCATGTCTAGCCGCGGGCAGTTAGTTCGGACTAATGGTGGTGCCCGGGAATATGCAAATGAAGCCTGGGATATTTAAATCCCGGGCTTCATTTGCAACTCCGGTTGCCCTCATTTGCCTACCTAGCTCCAACTAATGAGCTAGTGTAGACATACCCACAGTGACTAGTCTGGCAGCACCTTAAGGACTAACAAAACATGAGCTTTCATAGGTACAACCCTCTTCTTCAGATGACTGGAGTATGAAAAGTCCAGTTCCAAAATAAATAGGGTATGGGGGAGGAGAAGGAACAGGGGAAATAATGAATTAGAGGGTCATTGTTATGTGATTATGGGGGTTTATTGAAAACTGTAAAATTAGAAGCTGACACTTGGAATTCCAAGAGATGAATTCCTGGTTCTGCCTGCAGACCAAAGGGCTCTGTAGAGAGCTTGCATCTGGGTCATCTGCAGTCAGTGTGTTAAGAGCCGTCTTAGAACAGGGCTCTGCCTCCCTGCCTTAGGGAGCAACCTGCTTTGTCTCTTGCTGTATTTGGCTGTATTCCCAACACTGCTTAGGAATAAAGCAGCATTACATTGCAGTATGTATGTTTTGTCTGTAACTCTCTGTATGTGTGTGGTGAACATTACACTCATGTAGTACTGGGCATAGTACAGACTGATCAGCAGGTGTAGCACTAGGAGATCTCAGATGAACTGTGTTTTGCAAATACAAAATTCTTACACTTATAGTGAAGAATTATTTGTTCAGTATTAACCAAGTGATGTGGTAGAGAAGAACACATAAAATCACATTTTTAAATTTTTTTTAATAAGGTCATATTTTTGTTTCTGCCTATTTGAGGTTTTAATTTTCATTGCTGGTATTTTCAGATATAATCTAAGTAGCGGTACTCAGACCATATCCAGAGCTCTCTTCTGTTCTTCAGGAAAAATGACTTCACTAGCCAGATTTTCATAAACACTCAGCACACAGCAGCTTTCACTGAGGGCACGGCTACACAAGAGCGTGTTTTGGAATAACGTCTGTTATTCCAAAATAACGTATTGTGCGTCTATACAGCAAGCCCGTTATTTTGAAATAAATTTGAAAAAACAGGCTTCTTACTCTGACTTCTATAAACCTCACTGCACGCGGTGTAAGGAAGTAGGGGGAAGACAGCTCTATTTCAAAATAAGTGCTATGTAGATGTCACGAATCCTGGGTAGTGTGAATGGTTAGCACGAGTGCATGAGTAAATCAACAGAAAGTGAGCTGAAGAGAAGATTATGGACTTGTTTGGTCCAGGCAAAAACCCCGGAGGATCATCGACTTGTTTACAACTTGAAGAAGAAGGACTGTGTGAAATAAAATAACTGTGTATGTGTGCTGAGGCAGCATTTCTAGATAAGAAAAAGTAACAAGGGAAGAATCTAAACAAGGACAGACCATTGTTTCTCACTCTTGGTGAGGCAAGAAGTGCAAAACCCGGATATTTCTGGATCAGTCATGGACACACCAGTAAGAAGAAGGGGGTGTCACTAACGGATATCACTCCACCTGGACTGTGTGCTACCAGTGGATGGCAATTCACTGGACTGGCCCCTGCCAAAGGGATATATATCACATCATTTTGCACCACAAGTTGGAGTCCATCGATTTGGCATATTGGGATGACATGCACATAGGACTTCCACCTCAACCAAATTAACCAACATTATCTGGGCTCTGGCCAGCCCCACAGGGTGAGTGTGTGTGAGTGTGAGTAAGTATGTGTTAAATTGGATTAAGAATTAGGCTGCTAAACTGGGCTAAGAATTGGATTTAAATTGTTAAGTATTCCATTTAATTATTGCTTTTAATGCTTGTGATGCCTTTTAATGTCTTTTAATGTTGTTTTAATTGCTTAGTACTAAATATACATATACATATAGTGCTTTTAAAACTGCTCCTGAATTGCGTGCAATAAAACTTGTTAAAGGTATGTTTAAAATACTGTGAAAGACTCTTTTGTTCTGTGAATTCTAAACCATATTCGTATTGTGATGCGGCTTAATCAACCGGATCACAGTGCCCTCTAGTGACATAGACGTGCCCAAAGGCAAAATCAGCTATTTTGACTTAAGCTACACAATTAGGCTGCATCTAGACTGGAATGATTTTGTGCAAATACTTTTAATGGAAAAAATTTTCCGTTAAAAGTATTTGCGCAAAAGCGCGTCTAGATTGGAACAGATGCTTTTGCACAAAAGCATCCCTGGCCAATCTAGATGCGGTTTTGCACAAAAAATCCCCGATCGCCATTTTAGCCATCGTGGCTTTTTTGCGCAAAACAATACCGTGTTGTCTACACTGGTCCTCTTGCGCAAAAGCATTTGTGCAAGAGGGCTTTTGCCCAAACGGGAGAGTCAGTATTTGCGCAAGAACACTGACAATCTTACATTAGATCGTCAGTGTTCTTGGGCAAATTCAAGTGGCCAGTGTAGACAGCTGGCAAGTTTTTGCACAAAAGCAACGTTCCCTGATGCTGCAAAAGGAGCAGGCATTGGGAATGGAAGTGAACCGTGCCAGTGATCAGGGATTTAGTGGTTTTCTCCTTCCTAGCCAGGGGCTGCCATTGAGCTCACTTCAGCCTAACCAGATCTCAAGGGAAATATGGGGCAATGTGTCTGTTTTTCAGAAAAAGGTGGGATGCCTGGAAGAGGGCTTAAGAGGGAATAAGGGACTGTCCTGTTAGAAAGGAGACAGTAGTCCTACCCTCTCTTAAGGGGCCGCTTGTAATTCCAACCCCCTCCTCGCTGTGCCACAAGGAGCATTCCCTCCCCACCCTGACTAAGAACAGCTGATTGCTGGGCACCGAGCTGTTATGAAAATCTGGCCTATGGCGCTCCACCTCACAGGGTCCTAGAGCCTGGTCTTCACCCCAGACCTGAACATCTATACCATAATTCAACAGTCCCTCTGCCCGAGCTCCTCAGCCAGAGGCTGCTGGTACGGGCCGCCAGAGGTGTCTAACTGCAGTGTAGAGAGATCCCAAGACAGCTGAGGCTGCTCAGGACTTTCCAAGACTTGCTCAGAACCTGGAAGGTTCAGGCCAATGAACAGGAGACACGTTGGTAAATACTCTCTGCCCGTGTCTGCAGCATTTTGGTTTGTCTCTGTGCAGCACAGATGGGCACTGACCTGCTATGGAAATCGTTGACTCTTTCTCCTGGTCGAGTCGGGGGTTCCTGATGAGGCAGGACACTTTCTGGCTGGACTCTTCTGTTAGAACGATGGCAATCTCTGTCTGAAACAGGCCCCCAGCCTCCTGGGACATCTTTTCAGAGGCCGATGGTAAAAGCTTCCCCTGATGATCTCTCCACTCAGCCTCAGGCTGCAGGTGCCACCCGGCTGATCGACACAGCACCTGGATCCCTCCATCCTGATGTCCCTCCACAGAGATGGCAGGAACAGAGCCCAAACCTACAGAAGAAATAAATGAAATTGTGATAATCCCACAGTGTCCAGTAATGAGCCAAGAGTTTTGTTACACATACATTTCCTGTTAAATAAAAAATCAAATGTGAGTCCATGAACGCAGCTGATCATATTCTTATTTGTTACACAGTAAGACTAATGTTAATGTTATGGCTTTTCTAGGCACAAACTTGCTCGGCTACATCTACATTGGCCCCTTCTTCGGAAGGGGCATGTTAATTTCACAAGTCGTAATAGGGAAATCCTTCAAAGTAGGAATAAGAGCCTCCAGAAAAGGGCTTTTTTTCCGGAGGATCGGGGCCAGTGTAGACGCTCTTTTCCGGCTTTTCTAAAAGCTGGAAAAAAGCGGCGGACATTTTTATTTAAATGCCGCTGGGGATATTTAAAGGATTTCCCTATTACGACTTGTGAAATTAACATGCCCCTTCCGGAGAAGGGGCCATTGTAGACGTAGCCACTCCAATTTAACTAAACTGGTTTAGTTAATCAACGGCAAATCTCTGTCTACCCTTCTGGCTTTTGCTGGCAGAGAGCATGCTAATGAACTGCTCATTAGCAACTTCTCACACTTCATTTGAATAATCTCTGCCCGAGGCTTTTTGCACAAGAGGTTTTTGCACAAAAACTAGGCGTATAGATGGATCAGTTTTGTGCAAAATAACCCTTTTGCACAAGATCCTTATGCCCAAAAAAGGAGGTAGACAGATCTTGTGCAAAAGGGGGGGTTTGTGCAAAATGGATCTGTCTACAATGCTAGTTTTTGTGCAAGTTTTTATTTCAAAATAGCCATAATGTAATTGCCATAATGCAATTATGCAAATGAAGCGCAGGATATTTAAATCCCGGCTTCATTTACAATTTTGAATGTCTACATTTGCATCCCTCTGTTGAAAGAGGGCGCAAATGTAGACATACCCTGAGTGTGTTTGATCACTGCACCTGTCTTCTCCCCTCTCATTTTTCTGTCCGCCAGCACCTATCCCCCCGGGTGGAAGGGAGTTACTTCGCTCTGCTCCAGTTTGTGCCTGTTATTGCCACAGATGCTCTGCAGAGCAGACACTATCTCAGCCAGAAGAGCTCTACAGTTACATACTAATGCCCACAAGAGACTTGTCATCATCACATACTTGGTATTTGTCATCTGAGGAAGTCGGTTGTGCCCACAAAACTCATGATACTATTTACATATTTCTGTTAGTCTAAGCTATAGGACCATTGTTGTTTTTGACATTTTTTAGTTACAGACTGATCCCCCGATCTTGCACCCTGTCTGCAACACTATGAGACTCCTCCAGTCAGTAGAACAGAGATGCATCTACACTGGCATGATTTTGCGCAAGAACTCTTTTGTGGAAGAGTTCTTGTGAAAAAACTCTTCTAGAAGAGAGCATCTACACTGGCATGTACTTTTGCGCAAGAGATGTGCTTTTGCAAAAGAGCATCCGTGCCAGTGTAGATGCTCTTGAGCAAGAAAGCTCTGATGGCCATTTTAATCATAGGGCTTTCTTGCACAAGAAATTCATGGTGTTTGTCTACACTGGCCTCTTGCACAAGAACAGTTGCACAAGAGGGCTTCTTCCTGAGCAGGAGCATCATAGTTCTTGCGCAAGAAGCCCTGATTTCATACATTAGAACGTCAGTGTTCTTGAGCAAGAACTCCCCGCCAGTGTAGACAGGCAGCAAGTTTTGGCGCAAAAACGACGGCTTTTGTGCAAGATCACACCAATGTAAACACAGCCAGAGGGTTTTTTGCTTCTGTGAGGTACAGGATAGTGTAGGAGTGATGTAGGTATAAGGAGTCAGGGACAGGCAGCTGTAGACCCCTGGGGGTGGGGTGCCTAGGCCCCTAAACTCCCAGCACTCTGCTTAGTCTGTTCTCTTCATGGCATCCGAGCCAAAAACTGCCCAGTTCCCAGGCCCTGCCCCCCAACCAGGTGGCCATCTCCCCCAGGAAGAGCTTTGTTATCTGCTCAGGCTGGGCCTAGGTGTCTGGGCCAATCCACATGTGGGTGAGTCAGTGGGAGTCACACATCACAATGCAGGGGAACCCTGGGTTACAGAGCAGACTGCACCCCCACTGTGTCACACAGACTAACACAGCTTCCCCTTCAAGACACAAAATATTTGTAAGATCAGAAATGAGGTTTCCCAGCACATTCTGGTTCCTTCCCAAAATGCAGAGAGCGGCTAAACTCAAATGCCTGAAGCCCAAGATGTACAAAGTAACAGCACACGCTGGCTCAGCCCTGCCATCTGGGCTTTGGGGCTACGTCTATACTGTAGCCTTCATCCGCAAAAGCTTATGCAAATGAAGCGTGGAGTGGAATATTGCTATGCTTCATTTGCATAATTAATTAGGGAGCATCTTTGCGCAAGAGGCTTTTGCGCAAAAAGGAGCTGTGTAAACGGCTCCTTTTTGTACAACCGCTCCCCCCTTACACAAGAGCCGTTCTGCCTGAAAAAATGAGGAAGAAAATGCATGCACCCTGAGGGATCATCACACATGCCTCATTTCAGTGCTGAGGGTTGCAGGTTGTGTCGATGACCTGCACAGAGGCGTTCTCTAGCTTTCATGATTGTCAGTGTGCTAGTGTTTGCTGCACCTAACTTGACACTCATGTCCAGGCTGCAGAACTAGCTACAGCTGTTCCTTGGCTGGTCTGCCTGGCAGCACCTTTGGGGGGTCAGGCCTCTGGCTTTACCAGTCCCTGGGCTGGAGTGAATGCCTCAGTTTCCCCACTCTTGCACCATACCTGGGAATAGAGGACTCTGGGGATACAAGACGCCAGACATAAGCCAAAATAAATCCCAGCTGGTGACATCAACGTGGGGAAGATCAGCTATTGTCTAGCTCCAGATGTTCACAAAAAAGTTGAAATAACCACAACTATTATCACCTGCCTTTTAGGGGTCTCTGTGTGCCTCATTAATTCCTTGTTCTAATAACCTCAAATTTTGCTCACTAATCCCATCCTAAACTTCACTGTGTTGCAGCAACTTTCAAGATACTCCAGATATGTTTCTGGATTTTAGAACCCTAAGGAAAAAGTCATTGTTAAACAGTGAGCTAGAATAAACCTTAACTAGAGCAGAGCTACTGCCCTGCTATATTGAGAAAAACCAACTGGCATCTGACAATGACTCTTTGGACTCCACTTATTACCCTGTTGAAGATGTCAAAATATCAGAACAAATTACTGACCTGCCACCTGGAGTTCCAGTAAAGCTTCTGCATAAGAGACACTGGACTGAACAAGACATGTGTACTGCCCATGGTCAGGGGGTTGGATGTCGCGTATTCTCAGAGAAACTCTCCCAACAGTGATCTCGTCTTTCAAAAGCTCTGTTCTCCCTTGATATTCTGGCATCTGCTCCGCATACTGATCCTGTCCATCGCGGTACAGGTGCACGACTGAGGAGTCCTGGGATCGGAGCCACCTCACCTCCATGTTCTCAGCGCTCATGCTGGGGGAGAGGTGGCAGGACAGGTCGGCCACCCCACCTAGGGAGGCTGGAACTGGTTGGTCAGGTCCCTGCACTGTGAACTGTGCTGTGAAATGAGTCAGGGAAAAAGAAAATTAAATTGGAGAGGAACCAAGAGAGACAGGAATGTAAGTGCAGAATCCCAAGCACTGTTACAGGATGGGGGCCAACTGGCTAAGTAGCAGTTCTGCAAAAAAGGACCTGGGGGTTACAGTGGATGAGAAATTGCATAAGGTCAACAGTGTGCCCTTGTAGCCAAGAAGGCTAATTGCCTATTAGGGTGCATTAGGAGGAACATTGCCAGCAGATCCAGAGATGTGATTATTCTCCTTTATTCAGCACAGGTGAGGCCACATCTGGAGTATTGTGTCCAGTTCTGGGCCCCCCACTACAGAAAGGATGAGGACGCATTGAAGAGGGTCCGGCGGAGGGCAACCAAAATGATGAGGGGGCTGGAGCACATGACCTATGAGGAGAGGCTCAGGGATTTGGGTTTGTTTAGTCTGCAGAAGAGAAGAGTGAGGGGGGATTTGAGAGCAGCCTTCAACTTTCTAAACGGGGGTTCCAAAGAGGATGGAGAGAGGGTGTTCTCAGTAGTGACGGATGGCAGAACAAGGAGCAATGGTCTCAAGTTACAGTGGGGGAGGTCCAGGTTGGATATTGGAAAAAACTATTTCACTGGGAGGGTGGTGGAGCAGTGGAATGGGTTAGCTAGGGAGGTGGTGGAATCTCCATCCCTAGAGGTGTTTAAGTCTCGACTTGACAAAGCCCTGGCTGGGTTGATTTGGTTGGGATTGGTCCTGTCTTGGGCAGGGGGCTGAACTTGATGACCTTCTGAAGTCTCTTCCAACTCTATGATTCTATGATTCTACGCATATTGACAACTTGAAGTGTTCAAAAATCAGGAATCAGGCCCCTCATCCAAATCAAGAGATTGGTTTAAAAACAAAGAGATTGTTTTTTTAAAAATATCACACTTGGGGTGGGATTTTGCCTTCTGATTTCAGAACCTGTAGAGTTGACTTGTGTCACATTTCCAAGCGTTTATCTGTAATCATAGGGGTTAGATACTTACTTGAAAAGAAAATGGAAGCTGAGATTCTCACCTATTACAGGCCTCCTGGAGCTATGGCTTTAAGAAACACATCAAATAGCATGAGACATATAAGAAAACTGTGTGCTGGTAACCCAGCGAGGAGGCCAGAGTTCCTACCTAATGTCAACCTGTGAACCAGCAGAGTGAAGCAGAGTGCAAGGTAGCCGGGCAGAGCAGAGCTCGTTGCAGAACCGGGGGAGAACGTGGGAACCTTCCTCATCATCGTCACTGAGCCTGGGGAACAGGAGAAACAAACAAAATCAGATGTGCAGTGACTGGCACAAGGGTGAGTCCACCCTGGAGTTGGGAAGGGATTCTCCCCATAGTGTTAGTTTGCCACTACTCATAACATCAAATTATCTGTGGTTTGTAACCTATCCTTTAAATCGGCTTCCGTACCTAATGCCTGGAAGGTAGCCAACGTGACACCAATATTTAAAAAGGGCTCTAGATGCGATCCTGGCAATTACAGACCAGTAAGTCTAACTTCAGTACCGGGCAAATTAGTCGAAACAATAGTAAAGAATAAAATTGTGAAGCATGTAGAAGAACATAATTTGTTGGACAAAAGTCAAACATGGTTTCTGTAAAGGGAAATCCTGTCTTACTAATCCATTAGAGTTCTTTGAAGGGGTTAACAAGCATGCGGATAAGGGGGATCCAGTAGATATAGTATACTTGGATTTTCAGAAAGCCTTTGACAAGGTCCCTCACCAAAGGCTCTTGTGTAAATTACATGGCCATGGGATAAGAGGGAAGGTTCTTTTTTGGATTGTGAACTGGTTAAAAGACAGGAAACAAAAAGTAGGAATAAATGGTAAATTTTCAGATTGGAGAGGGGTAACTAGTGGTGTCCCCCAAGGGTCAGTCCTGGGACCAATCCTTTTCAACTTATTCATAAATGATCTGGAGAAAGGGGTAAGCAGTGACGTAGTAAAGTTTGCAGATGATACCAAACTGTTTAGGATAGTCAAGACAGAAGCAGACTGTGAGGGACTCCAAGAAGATCTCACCAAACTGAGTGATTGGGCAACAAAATGGCAAATGAAATTTAATGTGGATAAGTGTAAAGTAATGCACATCGGGAAAAATAACCCCAACTATACGTACAGTATGATGGGGGCTAATTTGGCTACGACAAATCAGGAAAGAGATCTTGGAGTTATCGTGGACAGTTCTCTGAAAACTTCCACACAGTGTGCAGCGGCGGTCAAAAAGGCAAATAGGATGCTAGGAATTATTAGGAAAGGGATAGAAAATAAGACCCAGAATATCTTACTGCCCCTGTATAAAACTATGGTACGCCCACATCTGGAATACTGTGTACAGATGTGGTCTCCTCACCTCAAAAAAGATATTTTGGCCTTGGAAAGGGTTCAGAAAAGGGCAACTAAAATGATTAGGGGTTTGGAACGGGTCCCATATGAGGAGAGGTTAAAGCGACTGGGACTTTTCAGTTTAGAAAAGAGGAGACTGAGGGGGGATATGATAGAGGTCTATAAAATCATGAGTGGTGTGGAGAGGGCTGATAAAGAAAAGTTATTTATTAGTTCCCATAATAGAAGAACTAGAGGACACCAAATGAAATTAATGGGTAGCAGGTTTAAAACTAATAAAAGGAAGTTCTTCTTCACACAGCGTGTTGTCAACCTGTGGAACTCCTTGCCAGAGGAGGCTGTGAAGGCTAGGACTATAATAGAGTTTAAAGAGAAGCTGGATAAATTCATGGAGGTTAGGTCCATAAAAGGCTATTAGCCAGGGGATAAAATGGTGTCCTTGGCCTCTGTTTGTCAGAGGCTGGAGAGGGATGGCAGGAGACAAACCGCTTGATCATTGTCTTCGGTCACCAGACAAATGGCTTGATCATTGTCTTTGGTCCACCCTCTCTGGGGCACCTGGTGCTGGCCACTGTCGGTAGACAGGACACTGGGCTAGATGGACCTTTGGTCTGACCCAGTACGGCCGTTCTTATGTTCTTATGTTCTTATGGGAAGCCCAGCACCCAGAACCCTCTGGTCCTGCCACTGTGAGATCCCCTCCTCTCCAAGTCACATCACCAAGAGGTACAATACTCTGGGGAGAAGGAGGTGGGGCTGGAGCAGAGCAGAGAAGCAGAGGCTGCCCCATACAGCTGCCTAAGGGGAGCAGGAGGGGCAGAAGATAGTGGGGGTACAGAGGGCAGATCTGCTGCCGGCCAAAAGGAATGAGAGGCAGGGGGATAAGGAGGAGGCAGGTATGCCCTTCCACCAGCCCAGAGCAGCCTCTGAGCCCTAGGCACACACAGCACACAGGCTGAATAGGAGTCCCCCAATATTTTGGGTGCCCTACACAGCTATGTTATTTCACATATGCCTAAGGCCTGCCCTGCTCACAACAGACACACAAGAGTATTGCAAAAGATGCAATGTTGGTCAGCTGAGTCAAATTCTTCAGAAACAGAAGGAAAAAGGAGAGCGCTAAAGCAATTAAAAATGAAGCAGGGAAGAAAAAGGGGCAGCCAAAGTGAGAGACACATCCCAGGTGGTATTTGGGATTCAGCTGGAGATGAAGATCCCTCTCTACTCTGTTCTGGTCAGAACTTCTCTCAGGATTGAGATGAAACAGGTCTGGCATCCTTAAAGCAGGGGTGAGGAACCTAATACCCCAGCTCACGTGAGTGTGGCCCTCGAGACTCAAGGTTCCCACACTAACGCTCTAGCTCCCCTCCAGATTGGTGATAGAAATGTAGCCGTGTTAGCCTGGGGTAGTTGAAGCAAAATGCAGGACAATGTAGCACTTTAAAGACTAACAAGATGGTTTATTAGATGATGAGCTTTCGTGGGCCAGACCCACTTCCTCAGATCAAATAGTGGAAGAAAGTAGTCACAACCATATATACCAAAGGATACAATTTAAAAAATGAACACATATGAAAAGGACAAATCACATTTCAGAACAGGAGGGGGATGCGGGGGAGGTGGGAAGGAAGGAAGGTAAGTGTCTGTGAATTGATGATATTAGAGGTGGGGAGAGTGGGATGTTTGTGAGCTAATGGTATTAGAGGTGATAATTGGGGAAGCTATCTTGGTAATGGGTAAGATAGCTTGAGTGTTTGTTCATTCCTTTTTGGAGAGTGTCGAATTTTAACATGAATGACAGTTCAGAGGATTCCCTTTCACGTGCAGATGTAAAAGGTCTTTGTAGCAGAATGCAGGTGGTTAAGTCATTGAGAGAGTGTCCTTTCTGGTTAAAATGGCAAGAAACTGTTTTTTCTTTGTGATCTTGTCTGATATCTGTTTTGTGGGCATTAATCCTTTGGCGAAGTGTCTGAGATGTTTGTCCAATGTACATAGCAGATGGACACTTTCGGCACATGATAGCGTAGATTATATTTCTGGATGCGCAGGAATATGTGTTCTTGATCTTATAACTCACTTGGTTAGGTCCATAGGTCCATATAATCTATGCTATCATGTGCCGAAAGTGGGCTAGTTGGCTCCGTCAGCCAAGGTGTGGCAAAGAAACAGGCTGCGCACCGCCAGGCTGCCTCTCTCCTGATGCCGAGCAACGCCTGCTCGGTGGAAGTCGCCGTGCAGGGCGAGGCTGCCCTGTCACATCCTCCATGACTACATCTACACTGCAAAGTTTTTGTGCAAAAACTCACGGAGCATCCACACTACAAGTGCGTTTTTTGCTCAAGTATAGTAGATGGTCAGAACACAGGGCTTTTTGCGCAAGAGTTATTCCTCTTTCGATGAGGAATAGCTCCTTTTCGTGCAAGAGTTCTTGAGCAAAAAGGAAAGTGTGGACTTTCCTATCAGGAAAAGCACAGGTGCTCTGATGGCCATTCACTCTTGTGCAATGTGGATGCTCTTTCACAAAAGCACATGA